ATGGGCGCTCGAAGTACGACGGTAGATCGGGAAATGCAACATCGAAGCAGAACGCCCCGATCCGAGAGTGTATTACCAACAAACAGCACAACCCAGCTTGGGCCAATACCTCCACCTCACACACCCATCTTACCAACCACTACACCGGCGTCATTCGTGGGCTAGGCACTATCTTCTTCCCAGCGCTCACACTAACACGGTAGGCCGCCGACAATGTAATCGTTCGGTCACCATCGCTTCCCTACCTAGCTGTGCCGACGACTTGGGTAAACCACTTCGGATACGACTCATCTGAAGTGCGGTCAAAGAGTATGAACAGGCGATGGAATCAAACATCACAGTGAGGGAGGGCACGCTTGACATCCCAGCGTCCCTCCTCCCCCTCCTCTTTCCGACCCCTCTCTCTCTCGTTATCTCGTTTGTTTTCTATAGATCTCTCTCTTTATCTCTCTGTCTCTCTCTCTCTCTCTCTATCTGTCTCTCTCTCTCTCTCTGTCTCTCTCTATCTCTCTCTACAAATATATATATATATATATATATATGTATGTCTTTCTCTCTCTCTCTCTCTAGAGCCCACCCTTGTTCCTCAAAGGTCGCGTACCCCAGACATCAATGTCCACGTCCCCCCCCCGCTCTTGCCTCGCTCACCAACCCAGCACAACCGCTTGCCCACACTTCGTCAACACGCAATTTGTCACTCCTCACCAGACAATTGATTAGTCCAATATTCGATCAACATACTGTGCCACTTGGCCATTCGTTTCACAACCTTCCCGTCAACAGGATCCCACCATACACGATGTGGAACTAGGGGGCGTAACGGGGTCCTGCCTTGTCATTATGTTTTAAGACGAGATTGAAGTGAGAGTTGTTCGATCCGAATGATGATCATGCTGGTGATGGTGCGAATGGTGTTGTTGATGATGATGATGCTGACGACGATGATGATGATTATAATGAGCATGATAAGGGTAATATTAACGATAATGACAATAGGAATGAGAATGAGGATGATGGTGGTGGTAATGATGATGATGTTGACGATGAGGATGAGGATGAGGATGAGGATGAGGATGAGGATGAGGATGAGGATGAGGATGATGATGATGATGGTGGTGGTGGTGGTGATGGTAATGGCGATGGTGATGGTGGTGGTGATGGTGATGGTGATGGTGATGACGATGATAGTTGTGACGATGCCGTTTTGTATTGGGCTCATGGATACGTCAGCTCTGCAGAGGCTCCGCCGGGAGTCGGGTGCGTCCGTCTCGGCGCTCTCCGCTTCCAATTTCTCCTCGTCCTCAGATGCATCCTCATTATTCCTCATCCTCACCACCACCAACAAAATCTTCATCCTAATAACCATTGACACTATCGTCACACTGACCATCATCAGCGTCATCAGCATCACTAGCCTCGTCATCATCCTCATCCTCATCCCCATCCTCCCATCATCCTCAATACATGTTCATCATCAACTTCATCATCACCACCACCATCCTCCTCATCATAATCATCATCATCGTCATCATCATCATCAGCATCATCATCCCTACGCCTCTTCCCTTCCGCGTCCCTTCATCCCATCTCTCTCTATATATATATATATATGTGTGTGCATGACCCAGGGCGGAGGATTAAACGGAGTTGGAAAGAGGGCGGCTCCTTTTTCCAAACATTCGGAAAAAAAGAGCAGCCCGAAAAAAACACGGAACCGCAGGATCCCGTTATGCCTCCTAACCCAATGTCATCTTCCAGGTCGCCTTCTCGTAGTGCCACGCAGAAGTCCTCATCCTCCTCCTCCTCCTCCTGCTCTTCGTCCTCCCGATCTGAACTGACCTGAACACCGTGCGCCAGCAGTGCAGAGATGATGATTCACACGCGCATGCAGTATGGTCAAGTCACCTCTGGCTCGGCACCACGTCTTGGGCCCGAAGAGAGACAATTTCCACGTGCCCACGAGGAACCCCCCTTCGGTCGCACGAGCCTAGTCCCTGGACTGAACCGTCCCTTCCCGTCCCCTGACACGTCCCTCCTCTCCCCCTTCCCCATTCCTACGTGCCCCCCACCACTCTCCCCCACCCCTCCCTCGCCAACCCTCCCCCGTCCCTCCCCATATCCCCGATCCCTCCCCAGTCACTTCTGCTGCTGCCCTGTGGCCTAGCAGGCTGTTGTCCATGACAATCTGACCCTGGCCCAGCTGCGACAGCAACATTGTGTTCATCTGCTTTGCGTTAAGCTGCTGCTGAACCGTGGAGGAGCAGGGAGCTGCTCAACTACCCGACAATGGCATGAACAGCCGCACGAATGAGAATAGCAGGTCGACGATGACGATGCCCACAATCAAGGTGACAAGGACAAGAGCCAAGACGAAAATGCGAGCACTATGGCGCAGCAAACAAGACAACTGTGACGACGGCAACGACGCCAACAACAACGATGGCTACAACATCGCCTGCGCCAACGACTGCGATAGAATCGAAAACAGGGAAGGAGCCAGCAATAACGAAACATAAGAAGGAGAATGTAGTCAGCAGAAACACCGACCAGCAAGGGACCCGAGCGAGTGAAACTCTGGCGGGGCGGGGCCGCTAAAAGTTTGCGACCCCGTTACACTGGCAGACCGAAGAAGTCACCAGAAGCGTCGCAAAAGACTGATCGGGCAAGGTGGTCCGCGGGAGCCATTAAGTTTCATCGTGTGTGCGCGCTTCCCTCTGCAGCTACATGTGCCAGAGCTCATCCAGGCCCCTGGGACGCGTGAAACGTAAATTTCTGTATCGGCCCCCTCGTCGCGACCTTGTCCACAAATCGTGCCCACGAAGTGTTGTTCCCAGTGCTCTTCTCAGAACCAGACTGGAAAAATGCAGCCCATATGGAGGCAGATGGTCGCTTGCCGCGGCAACGAACCACCCCGCCAAACCTCAGCACAGCGTCGCAGGCAAGGTGGTGAACAGAACAAACCCCACCAGCCCTTCAGGGCGTGATTGGTCCAAGGAGTTCGCTCTGCTGACCGCCTTCCCCCTTCGGGAGGGGAGCCCTCCCCCCCCCCCATACCCCCCACTCCTGGCCCCCACCCCGAGGTGTCAGAGGGTCCTTTTTGGTCCCAGGTGTCTCCAAGAGGGCCCAGAGAGCCGAAGATGGCCTCCAAAATCGCTCAGGATATCCCAAGATGGTTCAAGCTAGCCTCCCTCCAAGAGCCCTCAAGATCGCCCGAGGACAGTCCCAAATGCCCTCCGAGCCTCCCAAGGAGATTTCTTGAGGCCTCAAGATGGCCCCAATATAGTCCAAGGTGGCCCCAAGAGGGGCCCAAGAGGAGCCCGGCCCAAGACGGCCCCAAGACCGCCCAAGACCGCTCCAAGAGCGGACCGAGGGGGCCCCAAGAGGCGATTCTTCTGGCGCAGACGGGAATCCCCGAATCTGTGCCCCCCCTCCTCTTTTGATCGATGACCACCAACATGGCCCCAAAAAGCCCCCCAAAGTCTCCAAGAGGGCCCCAAGAGAGCACCAAAAGCGGCCCAAGAAAGCCTCGAGAGAGCCTCAGAAGCCTCCAAGATAGCCCCACGATGGCTCCATGAGCATCAGCTCATTTGCTGATCAGCTGGTGCAAGGAGCTTGTCGAAAGATCAACAATTCTGTTCGACCTCGGACCTCCACTGATCTGGCGTGCGCGCAGTACAATGGCAGGGCACGCGTGACGAGGCGGCCCAGCATGAGTGACAGTGCGGCGGGGAGCAGACAATGATCGGCGATCTACTGACCTGGGTCAATTCAGACCCGGGTCAGTCGGGCCTTGAATGATCCTGCAAGATCCTGCAGGATCCTGCACCCAGACCTGGGTCAGTGCGACCGTGGCTCTGCAGGATCCTGCAAGATCCGACGCTCTGACTGACTCCCGTTGGCATTGACTCCCGTCTCTTGAGCCCCGAAATGAAGACGAGTCGCTGGGACGGCAACACGGCCACGAGGTAACGGTGAAATGTGACGCGAACTCCCGCTGCAAACATCAAATGAAAACCAGACCGTCAAAATCCAGGACGCGTACCCACAACTCCTCGAGGGATGCTTGGGATGCTGAAGCAAGACTACGAATACATTGAGGTGCTGGAGCACGACGACGTACCCACAACTCCTTGAGAGATGCTGAAGCGGTGGATAACTGGGACGCTGGGATGTGGTACCTTTCCCGTTCCTTGAGGGGCAGACAGATGTGCGTGCGTGCGGCAAGCTCGTGTCGTGACGACTTGCGCTTTGGTTTCTGACACCGCGGTGGATCGCTGTCTTGGACGATCGGCGGCCTCCCGATCTCCGGACCGTTCCACAGCGGCCCACTCTATAGGCCACTGGCGGCGTTCAGCCTCGAACGCCCACGCTGGGGTCGTCGCCGCGTCGACCCGACACGAACCCGCCGCACCCGCAACTCCTCGAGAGATGCTTGCGATGCTGGAGCAAGACTCCGAAGCGATGGACACGAATACATTCTGACGGTGGGCACAAGGCGCGGGGGCACGGATGTCGAGGCGGCGGCGGACGGGTAGCGGGATGGAGGTGATGACCGTGTTGCCGAGAGCGGCGTTGTTGGTGAAGATCATCGAGTTCGAGGCGCCACCCGCCCCGCCCTTGCACTCCTGGTGGGGGGCGGCACCGAGCGCCCGCAGACGGTCTCTGGAGGTCCCCAGAGGTCTTCAGAGCTCCCCGAAAGCATCCTCCTCCTCCGCCACCACGGAAAAAGTCATGAGATGCGAAGTCAGCAAGACATGGAACACGCTGTGACAATTCAGCGAAACATAGAGGAAGCAAGCAGGGAGCAGTGCAAGAGGAAATTCGATGCGTGCACCAGAAAATCGAAAATGAAACCATCCTCCTCCTCCTCCTCCTCCTCCTCCTCCTCCTCCTCCTCCTCCTCCTCCTCCTCCTCCTCCTCCTCCTCCTCCTCCTCCTCATCACCCTCCTCCTCCTCCTAAACCTCCTCCTCCTCCTCATCCTCCTCCTCCTAAACCTCCTCATCCTCCTCCTCTTCCTCCGCTTCACCCTGCTTCTCGAAGACAGGCCAAAAAGTGTGAAGGCTGTTGGCGCCCCGCGGCTCCTTGCCGGGCAGGCAGGTGTATCTGCCGGTGGCGTCCTGCCCATCCATGGTAGCGTGCTCCTCCTCCCCCTCCGAGGAGGAGCAGGAGGCTCCACCTGTCCCCAACGACGACTAGCGACCTCCAAAGGTGCCCATCTGCCCTGCAAAATTGAAACAGCGCCCATGTCGACCTACTCCTGCCTTTCCTTCTCCTCCTCCGACTGCTCCTCCTCCTCCTCCTCCTCCTCCTCCTCCTCCTCCTCCTCCTCCTCCTCTCCTCCTCCTCCTCCTCCTCCTCCTCCTCCTCCTCCTACCCTTCCAGCTCCAGGATATCCCCTCATCCTTTGTCCCTGTCATCCTCCTCCTCATCCTCAACCGCCGACTCGCTCCCCCGCGATCACCATCACATCGTCATCCATCGCCACCGCCGCCTCCTGCTCCTCTACCACCTCCACCGCCCCCTCATACATGATGACGGCAGCTTGGGCTGCTGCATGTACGGGGCCGTGCCCCTCAGCTGGGGGCAAGACCAGACCTCCCGCGGAGGACTCAGCCTTCCAAGTTCTGGCTCGTTTCTCGAGTCTGCCCGCGGTGGGCAGGGCGCTCACGGTGCCCGAGGACTGCGCGGGCACCACAGGCTGCGCTCGCAACGCTCGCAAGGCTATACAGCCGTCTCGTGAGCGGAGGCATCTATCGACACTGGAGGGACAAACACGACGCGAGAGCCACGGTGAAGAAGGCCAACGTGCACAAAAGCCTGGGGCAAGCCTGCAGCTCCGAGGAGACATGGGCGCTGCAAGGCAACCAAAGCAGCTGGCGGATGTCTGGACCAAGGAAGGAGCCTTCATGTGGAGAGTGCCACACGAACGCGTCCTGTTCACAGAGGCATGTGAAGCCCGAGCAATGGACCTTGCCTTGTGGCCCCGGCGACTCCAGCAATGGATCGGCGATAACGACCCTGAGGGCAGCGTCGTTGCCCCAGCCCATTCTCGGCAGTGCGACCACCCGAAATCATCTGGAGCTCCTGCCAAGCAGCACCGAGAAGCTCTGATATGTTTCCCAGGCCGCTCGCTCGAGCCTCTGGCCACCCCCCGTGGCAGGGGGGCTCCACCGAGGCTCTCGGTGGAGGTTCCATTGGAAATTCCAAGGCCACGCTCCTCTCTCCTCCTCCTCCTCCTCCTCATCCTCCTCCTCCTCCTTCTCCTCTTCCTCCTCCTCCTCCTCCTCATCCTCCTCCTCCTCCTCCTCCTCCTCCTCCTCCTCCTCCTCCTCCTCCTCCTCCTCCTCCTCCTCCGCCTCCGCCTCCTCCTCCGCCTCCTCCTCCTCCTCCTCCTCCTCCCCTCCCTCCTCCTCCCTCCTCCTCCTCCTCCTCCTCCTCCTCCTCCTCCTCCTCCTCCTCCTCCCCTCCCCTACTACCAAGGCGGACGTGAGAAAGCCGCTTGGGGGGCCGGACGCCACCTGCCCCACCTTGGACCTCTGCGCGAGGTGCGAGGCCTCGCTGGGGCACGGCATGAGGCCAGGGCGCTGGTCACGCCGCGCCCTGGCCGGGGCCACAGCACCGCGGGCGCCCACGCGTGGCACCGCCCGTCCCCTCGCCAACCAGGCTCGGAGGGCTCACGCGGGAAAGAATCTGCAGCCTGGCAGGGCAAGCTGGCGGGTGCTGCGCGGGAACCGGCGGCAACGGTGCAGACCTGCTCGAAGTGCGGGATGAGGGTGCCGAGGCTGGATCTTACTCGTCGGCTGGAAGTGGGTAGAAACATGAAGTGGGAAGTCGGTGAAAGTAGATTTGGTTTCCGCCCGCCCCCTGAGGGCGAGGGAAGAGGGAAGACCGCTCCACTCTTGATGTAGGAAGGCGCCTAAAGTAGATTGGGACTCCGGCACCCAAAAATACCTGCTTTCAACGACCGACGGGTAAGCGTGTGGCGCGCTTGGCTGTCCAAAAACGGACGCCGCCGTCGACCACGCTCGCGCGCGAGGGGCGGAAGCCATAGCCAAACCACGCGTCTGTGGCTCTGGCGCGCACCTCGCCACTTCGCCCTCGTTGGTGCCCAGCGGTTGTGGTTATTATGATATCCTTCCCGTGACTGCTTGCACGGCAGCGCACGCACTAGTAATAAGATGTTCGTCGTCATCGCTCTTGTCATCCTCACCCTGTTCCTCCTGGTCTGGTCATCATCATCATCATCATCATCATCATCATCATCATCATCATCATCATCATCATCATCGTCATCATCGTCATCATCGTCATCATCATCAGCATCATCACGATCACCACGAATCCACCAAAACCCCCACCACCTCCACCACCATCATCACAACCATCATCATCACCATCCAGATCATCATCATAATCATCATCATCATCATCAGCATCATCATCATCATCATCATCATCATCATCATCATCATCATCATCATCACCATCACCATCACCATCAACAACATCATCATCATCATCATCATCATCATCCTCAGCAGCAGCAGCATCAACATCAGCATCATGACCATAAGCATTCATCATCACTCTTCATCATCATCAGCAGCAGCATCATCAGCAGCCGCACCAGCATCAGCATCATCATCGTCATCATCATCAGCATCATCGTCATCATTATCATTATCATCATGATCCTCATGATCATCATCATCATCATCATTATCATCATCATCGTCATCATGATCATCATCATCAACATTATCAGTACCACCGTCAGCAACAGAATATGAATCATCCTCATCATCATGATCATCATCATCAGCATCATCAGAATCAACATCGTCGTCATCCTCATCATCATCCTCTTCATCATCATCATCATCATCATCATCATCATCCTCATCACCCTCGTCATAATCATCATCAGCAGCAGCAGCATCATCATCACCGTCAGCAGCATCATCAATATCCTCGTAATCCTAATCGTCATCAGCAGCACCATCATCCTCATCATCATCAGCATTATCGTCCTCGTCGTCATCATCGTCATCATTATCGTCACCACCACCACCATCATCATCAGCATCATCGTCGTCGTCCTCATGAGCATCATCATCATCATCATCAGCATCATCATCATCTTCATCATCATCATCAGATTCATCAGCATCATCATCAGCATTATCATCAGCAGCATCATCGTCATCATCATCGTCATCGTCGTCCACGTCTTCGTCACCGTCATCGTCATCACAATCGTCATCATCATCATCATCATCATCATCATCATCATCATCATCGTCATCATCATCAGCATCATGATCATAGTCATCATCAGCATCAGCAGCAGCAGACGCAGCAGCAGCATCATCACAACCACCATCACCACAATCACCATCTTTCTCACCAGCATCATCTTCATCATCAGCAGCAGCAGCATCAACATCAGCAGAAGCAGCAGCTGCAGCATCAGCATCAGCATCAGCATCAGCATCAGCATCAGCATCATCATCATCATCATCATCATCATCATCATCATCATCATCATCATCATCATCATCATCATCATCATTCTCATCATTGTCATTATCATTATCATCATCCTCGTCGTCGTCGTCACAACCATCACCCTCCATCATCATCACCACCGTCATTATCAGCAGCAGCATCAGCATCAGCATCCGCAGCGGGTGCAACATCATCATCGTCGTCGTCGCCGTCATCGTCAGCATCAGCAGCAGCATCAGGATCATCATCATCGCCATCATCATCATAACCATCCTCAGTATCATCACCATCACCATCATCATCAACATCATCGTCGTCGTTGTCGTCCTCGTCGTCATCGTCACAAGCATCAGCAGCAGCATCAGCAGCACCATCATCATCAGCATCATCATTATCAGCATCAGCATCAGCAACAGCAGCAGCTGCTGCCGCATCAGCATCCTCACAACTAGTACCCTCTATCATTATCATCATCATCATCATCATCAGCATCAGCATCAGCATCAGCATCATCATCGTCATCACCACCACCATCATCCTCATCATCAACAGCATCAGCATCAGCAAAAGCAACAGCAACAGCAGCAGCAGCTGCAGCAGCAGCATCATCATCGTCATCGTCATCATCTGCGCCATCATCATCAGCAGCATCATCATCACCATCACCATCATCACCATTCCTCCTACTCGCCTCGACGTCCTTCCCCCGTCCCTGTCCTCCTTCCCACCCCGCAGCCTGTGTCACGCTGTCTAGGCTGCGCTTCTTCCCGTGCAGGGCACAGGTCACTAGCATCTGCTCGCCTTGGGCACCACAGCCAGCGCCCTGGAGCCGGTGGGGGGGGCAGGATTCACAGGGAGGCCGAAGATGCTTTCTGCACGTCGGGGGTTGGAGGAGGCAGCGGGGCCGAGGTTCACACGCGAATGTCGCAGGGGCAGTGGAGAAAGCACGGAGGTTCGACGGGAGCGGCAGGTGGCGCGCCGCGGTCGTGCCTGGGCGAAGCCAGCGGCTGGGCAGGTGGCTGCGGCCCCAGAGGATCGCAGGTCTAACTCTGGGCCGGCACGGGATGTCCAGGCGGGCCTTGACCTACAGTAGGAGCTCGACCACAAGAAACCGTCCACAAGAAACCCAACCCTGAGACCCGAGGACGTCCATGGATTTTTTGGTGTGGGAGCGCCACGCTCTCCATCGCAAGACCATCGAAGCCCAAGAAACCCAGGGCGCCCTGGTGGCAAGCGGGGTGTTTCTTGGCACTGGTCTCCACTGCAAGAAAGGGGAAGCGGAGAGAACCTGCCAGAGGCGAGGAAGGTCTGCACGGGCGAAAAAACACAAATTGGCAAGGGGCGGGGTGCCAAGGGGTCTGGCGGCTGGTGGCCGATGGCGACGAAGGTGGAGTGGATGCCAGAGGAGAGGGAGGAGGAGGCGGAGGAGGAGGAGAAGGATGCGGAGGAGGAGGTGGAGGAGGAGGCGGATGGAGGAAGAGCTGCACCCGCGATAACATGGTCGAACAATGTGGCGAGCATGTAGCCCAAGATTGACGCTGACAGCACGGAGCACGTTGACCAGGTCATGCGAAGAGGCAGAAGTTAGAACTACACAAGGCCGTAAAGGCGGAAGAAGGGTAACAGCAGCAGCTAGAGCAGCTGCAGCCGGCCGCAGATGGAGTAGGTAGGGGATGAATCATGGGAGGGGCAGCAGGATTAATAGAGCAACGGTTCTCCCTCATCCTTCCCCCGAGTCTTCATATTCCCTCCCCTCCTCCTCATCCTTCTCTCCGCCCTCCGCCCTCCCTCCGCCCACCACCCCTCATCAACCTCCTCCCCCTCCTCGCCATCATAACCAACATGAGCATTATCATCATCATCATCATCATCATCATCATCATCATCATCATCATCATCATCATCATCATCACCATCATCATCATCATCATCATCATCATCATCATCAACATCATCATCATCATCATCATCAGCAGCAGCAGCAGCAGCGTCACCACCACCACCACCATATGAAGAAGCATCAAGACATCAGCATCAGCATCAGCAACATCACCATCAGCATCACCAGGATAATGATAATGATGATACTGATAATACTTGTTGCTAGAAAAAACTATGAAAACGAATAATAATAACAATAAACGTAATGATAATAATAAGAATAACAACAACAATAATAACAATGTTTATCCGTATCATCATCATCATCATCATCATCATCATCATCATCATCATCATCATCACCATCATCGTCATCATCATCAAAATTAGAAGCATCAGCATCAGCAACAGCATCAGCATCAGCAGCAGCATCATCATCAGCATAATGACAACAAAAAATGCAACAACGACGAAAAACAGTGACAAATATGATAATGAAAATAACAATCAGAATCACACAATAATCACAATCATGAGAGGAATATTCGTAACAAACGATAATTGGCCAAAAAATGGTGGAAACCGTTATAGAAGGAATAGCACTACTAACGCAAATTAATTTCAGCATCATTATCAGCATCATCATGATCATCAGCCGCAGCATCATCATCAGCATCAGCATCATCATCATCATCATCATCATCATCATCATCATCACCATCGTCACCATCATAAGCATCATCGTCATCATCAACATCATCAGCATCATCATGATTATCGTCAACGTCAACAGCCGCATCTCCGTCGTAGTTGTTCTCGTCGTGCTCCTTTTTCTCATCATTGATTATCCTCCTACTGCTGCTGCTGATCTGCTTCACCATCCATCACCACCAGCGTCGTCGGTGTCGCCGTCGTCACCGTCGTCATCATCACCATCGTCCTCTTCTTCTTCATCGTCATCATCATCGTCAGCAGCATCATCATCGTCGTAATGAGCATATGTGCGTTTTCTGCATCATCATAAGCTTCTTCCTCATCATCATCATCATCATCATCATCATCATCAGCATCATCAGCATCATCACCATCATCATCATCATCATCATCATCATCAGCATCATCATCATCATCATCATCATCATCATCCTCATCATCATCATCATCATCATCATCAGCATCATCATCATCATCATCATCATCATCATCATCATCATCATCATAGTCATCATCATCGTCACCAACATCGCCCTACGCATCATCGTTACCACCTGCACCACCAGCCTCAGCAGCATCTGCATCATCACCGACATCACCATCGTCATCGGCATCATCACCACATCGTCAGCAGCATCATCATCACCATCATCAGCAGCAGAAACATCGACCTCACCATTACCAGCATCATCGGCATCATCATCAGCATCATCATCAGTATCATCATCATCATCATCAGCATCATCGTCATCATCATCATCAGCATCAAGACCAACATCAGCATCATAAGCATCATCGTCATCGTAATAATCATCGTCAGCATCATTATCACCACCTATCATCATGGTTACCGTCAGCATCAACAGCCGCATCGCCGTCGTAGTTGTTCTCGTCGTGCTCCTCCTCCTCATTAGTATCCTGTTACTGCTGCTGTCCTGCTCCACCATCATCACCACAAGCGTCGCCATCATCATCATCACCATCATCATCATCATCATCATCATCATCATCATCCTCATCATCATCATCATCATCATCATCATCATCGCATTCTTGCTAGTCATCAGCATCATCATCATCATCATCATCAGCAGCAGCAGCATCGTCATCATCAGCATAATCACCATCACCACCAAGATTCACAACATCATCAGCAGCATCATCATATTCATCGTCAGCATCATCATCATCATCAGCAGCAGCATCATCATCACCACAAGCGTCGCCATCGTCAACATCATCATCATGATCAGTAGCATCACCATCATCATCGTCATCGTCATGAGCATCGGAACCATCATCATCATCATCATCAGCATCATCATAATCACCATCATCATCGTCATCATCATCATCATCATCATCATCAGTATCAGCATCATCATCATCGGCTTCATCATCATCATCACCATCAGCATCAGCATCATCAGTATCATCATCATCACCAGTATCGCTCTACGCATCATCATTACCACCTGCGCCACCAGCCTCAGCAGCATCAGCATCATCACCGACATCACGATCGTCATCGGCATCACCACCAGTATCAGCATCGGCAGCAGAAGCATCAGCATCACCAGCAGTTGCATCAGCATCATCATCATCATCAGCAGCATCATCATCATCATCAGCATCATGATCATCAGCATCATCATCGTCATCGTCATCGTCATCGTCGTCATCATCATCGCCATCGTCATCATCAACGGCCTCATCGTCGTCGTCGTCGTCATCGTCGTCGCCGTCAGCATCCGAACGGAGGCCCCATCCAGCCCTTCAGCCCTCCCTCCTTCCCAGCCTCCTCCACGTCCTCCTCCTCCTCCTCCTCATCATCATCAGCATCATCGTCATCATGATCATCACCAGCATCGCCACCACCACGACCACCTCGACCATGGACACGACCAGCATCATCATCATCGTCATCGTCATCCCCAGTATCATCAGAATCATCATCATCACCATCATCAGCACCATCATCATCATCGTCAGCTTCATCTCCACCTTCACATTCGTCGTCACCTTCATCTGTATCCTCGTCGTCTTCATCATCACCACAGCTATCACCATTATGATCAGCATCACCAGCACCACCACCGCCACCATACCATGATCGACAACAGAATCCGCACCACCACCACCACCACCATGATAATCAGCATTGTCATCATCAACATCGTCATCATCATCAGCATGATCATCATCAACATCATCATCATCATCATCATCATCATCATCATCATCATAATCATCTTCATCATCATCATCATCAGCTTCTTCATAACCAGAATCATCAGCATGATTATCAGAATCATTATCATCAGCATCATCATCGTCATAAACATCGTCGTCAGAATCAGCAGCAGCATCAGCATCAGTATCATCATCAGCATCATCATCAGCAGCATGAGCATCATCATCATCCTCGGATTCATCCTCGTCATCCACATCATCACCACTCGTAGCATCATTAGCATCAGCATCACCAACAGTACCATCGCCATCATCACCATCATCGTCATCAGAATTATCTCCATCACCACCGCCACCATCATCATCATCATCATCATCATCATCATCAGCAGCAGCACCAGCATCATCATCACCGTCATCATCAGCAACACCACCACAATGATCATCATTATCACCAGCATGACCACCATCACCAGCCTCAGCATCAGATTTATAATCCTCATCACCACCACCAGTATCAGTCATTATCATCATGATCATCAGCATCCTCATCATCATCTTCATCGACATCATCCTCATCATCATCTCCATCATCCTCACGAGCAACATCATCATCATCATCAGCAGCAGCAGCATCGTCATCATCATACTAATCATCATCATCATCATCATCATCATCAGCATCATGATCATTAACCGTAGCATCCTCAACGGCATCAGCATCATCATCCTGATCCTCATCAACATCGTCGTCACAACCATCAGAATCATCATCAGCATCATCGACATCATCACTACCACCACCAGCATCAGCATCAGCAACAGTTTCTTATGTTTCAACATCGTCACCAGCCTTACCATCGCCACAGCAACATCATCATCATCAGCAGCAGTATCATCATCATCATCATCATCATCAGCATCATCATCATCACCATCATCGTCGTCACCATTGGCATCAACAACACCTGCAGCAGCATCAGTGTCGGCATCATCATCGTCGTCGTCGTCCCCGCCATCCTCCGAATCATCATCCTCGTTTTCATCATGCCAAAAATCAGCATCTTAATCATCAGCATCATCATCGTCATCATCATCATCATAATCAGCATCGTCATCGTCATCATCATCATCAAAACAATCAGCATCATCAGCATCATCATCATCGTCATCATCATCATCATCATCGTCAGCATCATCATCATCATCATCATCATCATCATCATCATCATCATCATCAACATCATCATCATCAGCATCATTACCGTTAGCAGCAGCAGCCGCAGCAGCAGCATCAGGAGCAGCATCATTATCAGCAGCAGCAGCCTCATCCCTATCCTCGTGCACTCCTCCACCGAACGGGGCCACCAATGCTGGCACGGACACCCGTTGCAATTGAAAACAATGCTACGGGCAACGAGGTTCCCTGTGCCATTCCCCCTCTCCAATATCTCTCCACATCTAAACTTCCCTCCACCTGTTCCGTGCCCATACTCCCACCTCCAACCCTCAGCCCTCCCTCATTCTCCGCCTCCTCCACATCCTCCTCGACATCTTCCTCCGCCTCATCTTCCTCCTCATCCTCCTCCTTCTCCTCCTCCTTCTCCTCCTCCTCGTCCTCCTCCTCCCCCTCGTCTTCATTCTCGTCCTCTTCCTCCTCATCCTCCTCATCAGCATCACCATAATCATCATCATCATCGTCATCATCATCCTCATCAGCAGCATCATTACAATCATCATCCTCATCATCACCACCACCATCACCACTTCCACCACCACCACGACCACGAACACGACCAGCATCCTCATTGACATCATCATCAGCAGCAGCAGCATCAGCAGCATCATCAGCATCATCTGCATCAGCATCATCGTCAACACCGTCAACCTCCTCATCATCATCATCACCACCACCATCAGCATCGTCATCATCATGTTATTCGTCACAGTCGTCGGTGTCTTCCAATTCAGCATCGTCATCGTCATCCTCATCGACGTCATCCTCGCCATCGTCGTCATCTTCGTCATCATCATCATCATCATCATCATCATCAGCATCATCATCATCATCATCATCATCATCATCATCATCATCATCATCATCATCATCATCGCAACCGCCACTAGCATTACTGTCGTCATCGTCACCACCACCACCAACACCATCATGATCATGATCATGATCATCATCATCATCATCATCATCATCATCATCATCATCATCATCATCATCATCATCATCATCATCATCATCAATGTCATCATCATCATCAGCATCATCATCACCATGATCATCATCAGCATCGTCATCATCGACATCATCCTCATCCTCCTCAGCATCATCATCCTAATCATCATAATCATCCTGAGTATCATCATCATCAGTATCATCATCATTACCATCATCAGTATCAGTGTCATCATAGTGTTCATCATCATCATCATCATCGTAATCATCATCTGCGTCATCGCCATCCACAGCATTGTCATCACCACCTCCACAGCCATTATTATCAGCATCAATATCCTCATCATCGTCATCATTATCGACGTACTAGTCATCGGCATGTTCATAGTCATCATCAGAATCATCATCGACAACATCAGCATCGTCATCATCATCCTCATCCTCATCATTATTAACATCCTCCGCATCAACATCGCCGTCCTCGTCGTCGTCGTTGCAGTCGTTGTCATCATCATCAGCATCATCAAGCTCCTCCTAATTCTCCTCCTTCTCCTATCCCTCCCCCTCCCCCGTAGTCGACATCCATGTCCACCACCGCGCGGCAATCTCCAAACGGGCGGGGGGTGGAGGATGCTCCGCCTAGGTTGTTTGCCGCCGCCCCCCCTCACGCACACAGCCTTGCACTCATCGCCGGGCTTGCATATGAGGTTGCCTGGCGGGTGCTGGAGACAGAGGAGTGGGGGAAAAGGGGAAAGGGAAGGAGGGTGATGGGCCGAGGAAGCGCACGAGGGAGGATGGGCGGTGAGGAGGAGGGGAAAGGGGAGGAGGAGGGAAAAGGGGAGAAAGAGGAGGAGGAGGAACAATAAAAGAGAGGGCAAGCGGAAGGGGTGGAGGGGTGAGGGGGACGGGGGACAAGGCGATGAAGAAGGGGGAGGAGGAGGCAGCCCTTTCAACCTGTCCTGGTTTCGCGTACTGCTCCTGACCCCCTGCCCTGCCAGGATTGCACCCTGGCCGCATACTGCTCTTGCGATGTTGGGAAATATTCATCTGCTTGAGCACATCCTCCTTGACGTTCCCAATCGCCACTTTGTTCCGCCCTGCAGATTCCCAAAACAGCGTTTGCACTTAGAGGTTACTACTTCGCGCTTAGGAACTGGGTACGCCCCGAAGCTCTTAGATGGTCCCGCAAATGCGATCCCATAAAGTCCACTGCATCGACAGAAAGTTAGGTTGGCATCGGGTCCCGTACAGAGGGCCCCTGAAAATGCTTGGCTCTGAATTACCAGTTTACTGTATTTGCACGGTCCCGCCCATAGTTCCAGACATTGTGTTGGACGAGGATTCCCATTGTGCTGGCGTTGTGCTGCATCGGTCTTGCACTTGTACTGTCCATTGAAACTGCACCACAAGGATTGCACTCGAACAAGCAATGACAATTCGCTGTCCGGGGTCCACCCTGAAACATGTGCTGCTTTGCCCTTCCTTCCGCCTACCCTGTCCGTTCCCAGACTCTGGGGGCCTCCAGAAGCGTCCAGAGGCCCAAACAAACCAAAACAAGCAAAAAAACGACGTCCCCGATCCTCACCCCTCCCTCCTCCTCCTCCTCTTCCTCCTCCTCCGCCTCCTCCTGCTCCTCATCCATCCCTCTTCTTTATGAATACCTCGATCCTGTCGCACCATCAGACGTGACCTTAGGCCGGGCCGGGCGCTTCGCGTGAGGATTCCTGGCAAAGAGCAATCTTGGAAGTAGCACACTCAAACAGTATACAAAATTCAGGCTGGTTGCTTTCAGCAAGCGGCTCTCGCCTTGGAGCAGCGGACGTTCGTCTTAAAAACGTTCAGCAGTTCCGCGGATGGAGTGCAAGTGGTTTTCAACATGCGGCTCTTCCCTCAACGCCGAAGACATTCGTCCTTCAAGCTTCCAACAATTACGCGGATGGCGGGCCAATAGCTTTCAACTTGTAGCTCTCGCCTGAGCCCCGCGCACATTCGTCGTGAAAGTGTCGAGCAGTGACTAAGATGAAGGACTGCGTTTTCAAAATGCGGCTCTCGCTTGCGACGTCCTCGAATTCCACGACCCGAAACTTCCAATTTGCGGAACGATCACACATGTCGAGGGCGGGTTCTTTTCAAAATGAGGCGCTCGCTCGAAGCACCCTCACAAACTGCATGGCCAGAGCCTCGAAATTGAGCAACGATTGCCAGGATGGAGGGCAGACTCTCTTTTGAGAAACGGTGCTGTCGCTGGACACTTGCTGGAACGTATAATCCTACAGCTTGGCTCTCCCTTTCGGCTCGACGAGGTGGAGGGCGCATCCGACAGAAAAGAAACGGGGCCCAAGTGGCAGGCTCAAAAGGGGCGCTCGTCGCTCAACGGATGGCGCGTCCCGAAGGTAGAACGGCACACTTGTAGAGGAGGAGGCGGAGGAGGAAAAGGAAGAGGAACAGGAGGAGGAGGGAGAGAAGGAGGGGGAGGAGGAGGAGGAGGAGGAGGAGGAGGAGGAGGAGGAGGAGGAGGAGGAGGAGGAGAGAGGAAGGAGAGAGGAGAAGGAGGAGGAGGAGGGGGAGGAGGAAGAGGAGGAGGGGGAGGAGGAGGAGGAGAAGGAGGGGGAGGAGAAGGAGGAAGAGGAGAAGGAGGAGGAGGAGAGGAGGAGGAGGAGGGAGGGGGAGGGGGAGGAGGAGGAGGAGGAGGAGGAGGAGGAGGAGGAGAAGAGGGAGGAGGGGGAGAAGGAAGAGGAGAAAGAAGGAGGAGGAGGAGGAGGAGGAGGCAAGGAGCGCACTTAGGATGGGAGGGTGTGATGCAGCATCGTTGATGCATCCAGGGGTGGTACTCCAGTTCTCCTCGCCTCCTCCCCCCCCCTCTCCTGTGCCAAGACTACAGTCGACCCGCATAGTAGGGATGAGTGACTGTTCTAAGGTTACCCTTGCAGCCTTCCGCTTCGGCCCATCCTTGGCCGCTTTCGCTGGCCGCGCCCCGCCCGCAAAGTGTCGACATAGCATTCCGAGGCCCTTGCATCCTTACCGCGCACCCTTATTATACGGGTTGACTCTACTGATGTCCCTCCAGCGTGCGGTGGGCGCGCCATTGCCGTCTTCGATGAGATAGCGCCGGCCCCGCACCTTCGGGAGGGGGACCCAGCAGCGGGGCAATGGAGAGAGGAGCCGTAGGATTTCTCCCCCCTGGCGCAGCCTCGGAAGGGAGAGAGGGAGCGAACAACATTGGACGTCGCTCATGGAGGGGCGATCAATGAGGGGGAAAAAGGGTGCACCTTTCGGGCCCTGAAGGCCCTCTTTGGGGCCCTCCTTTTGGGGACCCTCAAGGGCTCCTTTTCTGCAGCCCTCGCTGCCCCCTCATCGACCCCCCGTTACGCGACGCCCAACAGCATCACGACGTGGCAGTTCCCTGAGGCAGTCCTGAGGGCTGCGCCAGCGCCTGCAAAATGTAGGCCCCTGCACGGCAAGCACGCGGGGGAGGGGAATGAGAGGAGGGAGGAGGAGGAGGAGGAGGAGGAGGAGAAGGAGGAGGAGGAAGAGAAGAAGGAGGAGGAGGAGGAGGAGGAGGGAGGAGAAGGAAGCGGAGGAGGAGGAGGAGGGAGGAGGAGGGAGGAGGAGGAGGAGGAGGAGGAGGGAGGAGCAAGGAAGAGGAGGAGAAGAGGAGAAGGGAAGAAGGGGAAGGGGAGGAGAGAGGAGGAGGGAGGAGGGAGGAGGAGGAGGAGGAGGAGGAGGAGGAGGAGGAGGAGGAGGAGGAGAGGAGGAGGAGGGAGGAGGGAGAGAAGAGGAGAAGAGGAGAAGGGAGGAAGAAGAAGAAGAAGGGGAGGAGGGAGGAGGGAGGAGGAGAAAGGAAGAAGAAGGGGGGAAGCGTCGGGTGGGTGGGTGCTGCCTGCTCCTCCTCGACTCCCTGGGTGGGCCGCCGGCGCGCAGCGTTGGGGCAGCGCGGAGGATTCACATCCAGAGCGTGCGCAGCAGCAGGAGGGCAACCAGGAGGAGGAGGAGGAGGAGGAGGAGGAGGAGGAGAGGAGGAGGATTTGCTCAGCGGCCTTATTGAAGGCCTGGGGCCCCACCGATAGGGGGCAGCTAATTCTTATGTCCCGGAGCAACCGCCGCGCAACGACAACGACGACGACGACGACGACGACGACGACGACGACAGCTACGACGAGGGAGGGGGAGGAGAAGAATGAGGAGGAGAAAGTTTCAGGACAAGTCCCATTCACCGCTAAGAGAAAAGGGGGGCAAAACTGAAGAAAAAAAAAAAAAAAAAAAAAAAAAAACGTTAGCGGTAAGAGACCAAACGCATTAATTGAACGACCAATCGTGCGTACGTAGACGTTTGGAGGTACTCGCGCGTGAAATGCCCACACGAGCGGAAAGGGTAAGGCAGGGGAGACAAAGGAGGGCAGAGTACAGAGAGGAGACTGCACAAGAGTCGTTACCTACATAGCCTGGCAACTTCGTGCGCAGCCGAATGTGCATGGGCACCCTGCGTGCCGAACACGGCGCGGATGAAGCTAACGAGTGTGCTCACCATGCACCAAAACAAGAGGAAGGGGAGGAGACAAGGGAGGAGAGGGAGGCAAGGAGACACGCTCCCACCGAGCGTCGCACAGGATGGCACAGTGAAACAAACCCAGAGGAGAGAGGAGGGGAGAAGGCCGAGCACGAGCAGAGGGGAAACACCAAGAGAGAGGTTGGGCGGCAAAATCGAGTCACGGCTCCTGTGTGCAGCCGTAGGAGTCCCCTGGAGGATCGAAGATCGAGGATCTACGCTCGTGAGCGCTCTGGGTCCTCCTTTGGGCCTCCAGATACCCCATTGCATCATCCGACCCTCGCGGGGGACGGGGGGGACTGGAGTCGTGGGCACGCAGACGCTGCAGGTGGGGCCCCCACAGTGCTGCCCCGTCCAGGGGAGCAGGATGCGAAGGAGGAGGAGGAGGAGGGAGCAGGACGACGGGCGACCGCTGGTCGACCGCGGCCGGAGGCGTATTCCGAGCGAACGAGCGGTCCCTGCCAGAGGATAAAACGATAATCCTGCCAGCCTTTTGGGCGTCGGCGGTTTGCCGAGTCCGCTCTTCCAACCTCCTCATTCATATCGGGGAGAAGTTCATACATCTTCCCTATCCATTCATACTCCTGCTCTGCACCACAGCTGGCCGATAGCCACCCCATCTGGGACCCTCCATCCTACGTGTAAGGAACAGTACAAAGTCGACGATGTTCGTCTCAACATGGACACCGTGTCGTCCATGTCGCACGAGTCGCGGCGGAAGCGGCACGGGGCGCGCCTGCCGTGCAAAAGGCCGGGAATGTCACCCTCGCCGAGAACTGATCTGCCGCCTGGCTGCGGCGCACACTTCTCGCACGCGACTGCGTTGACGCGCGAGCGGACGAAGACGTCGCCCTCCACGGCCCGCGCAATGTTCCCCCTCCGTCGAGTCGCCGGAGGCGGGGACCAGGCGCGGGCGCCTTCCGCTTGCGAGGTGGCAACGCCCTCCAATCCCAGTGTTTCAAGTTTGTGCCACAATTCATTCCCGTGTTGTGGCGGGGAGGTGCGGAACAGGCGGGGCCCTCTGACTCGCTCGACCTGACTACCTGAACCAGTCCACCCCCTGTCACCGGGTCTGGACGAGCCCCGTCGCGAGGGCTCAGGGCGCCCAGGATGGCCCGGTATGGCCCCAAGATGGCCCCAAGATGGCCAAAGGTAGCATCCAAGATCGCACAAGATAGCCCAAAATGGCTACAGATGCCAACATGCCTCCGAGAGGCGCCACGGCCATTTCAGGACGGCTCCAAGTGGCTACGGAGCCTCGCAAGAACCTCCCCCCCGAGAGGCCGAAATTCCCCCAAACCCTAAGGAACATACATGGCGTTGGCCATCTCGCCTTTTCGCTTCAAATAATTCTGAGGCCTCAAGATGCCTCCAAGATGGTCCAAGCGAGTCCCAAGAGGGATCCAAGAGGAATCCAAGAGGGCCCAAGACGGGGTCCAAAGCTCAAGAGCAACCCAGAAGCGCCCATCGAGGGCACCAAGAGGGGGGGACCACAATTGACGCCACCACCTTTTTTGATGGCCCCAAAAAGGACCCCAAGGGAGCCCGAGAGGGCCCCAGAAGGGCTCCAAGAGAGTTCCAGTGGCCCTAGGAGGACCCCACAGTGGCCTCAAGATACCTCCAAGAGGCTTCTGGAGCGTAACTGCCTGCTGCTACATATCGCTGATCAAGGCAGCTCGCATGGTGCTTGTTTTGAAACGGGCTGGTGGGGGTGCGCGAGGCGTCATGAACACGCCCGCTGCCCCCTCACATCCCAGGAACCAACCTCCTCACGTGCCTGGCCCCCGTGGACACCAGACCTGATGCGGGTCTGGCAACGGGGACACGGAGCAGGACGGGGGCGCAGGAGGAGGAGGACGACGACGAGTAAGGTGTCTTGCAGTGTCAGCGGCGCGCCGGGTAGGCGGTGAGCCGCCAGCGGGCCCGGCCAGAGCAGAGAACGGCCTCTCGGGCGAGCGAGGCGGGGCATGCGCCGGGGCCGTGGGCCTGCCTCCTCGAGGGTTCGTTCGCGGGGGAGGAGGAGGCGGATGAGGAGGAGGGGGAGGAGGAGGAGAAGGAGGAGGAGGAGGAGGAGGAGAAGGGAGAGGAGAAGGAGGAGGAGGAGGAGGAGGAGGAGGAGGAGGAGGAGGAGGCGGATGAGGAGGAGGGGGAGGAGGAGGAGGAGGAGGCGGGGCGGCGGCGGCGGAGGAGGAGGAGGAGGAGGAAGAGAGGAGGAGGAAGAGAGAAGGAGGAGAGGAGGAGGGGAGGAGGAGGAGGAGGAGGAGAAGGAGGAGGAGGAGGAGCAGGAGGAGAGGAGGAGGAGGGAAGGAGGAGGAGGAGGAGGAGGAGGAGCAGGAGGAGGAGGAGGAGGAGGAGGAGGAAGGGGACGACGACGACGAACCTTCCTGTGGATGCTGCACATGGGCTCCCCGCTCAGGGCCATCGCGGCCGCCTGCTGCACTGGCAACATCGGGTCCGGGACAGCGGGCCTCGGTGGGCCCACGCCGGGGAGAGCAAGGAGGAGAGGAGAAGGAGAAGGAGAGAAGGAGGACGGGAGGAGGGGGAGGAGGGGGAGGAGGAGAAGGAGGAGGAGGAGGGGGAGGAAGAGGATGAGGAAGAAACGGACCAGTGTAAAACCAAGAGTCACCAACGATGTTAGAATTAACCCTCCCAACGGTTCATTTCCATTGAGGGAATTGCCTCGTTGGATGACAAACACTTGAAGATCTTGCAGCATGCCAAAACATTGTTCTTAAGATTTCAACGCCACGGATGAACCTGACTGCTGCGTGTGGACGTTCCGGAATCGTGTCAGAACGCCATTTTTGGGGACGACAACACCGCGAATCAACATAATTGTTGCACCCCCATAATCCTGCATCCTTCCAAAACACCATGTCTGCTACGTTGATCACGGGAACCCGTGAAACTCTTACAAATTTTACAACGAATGCGCGCGGTGCCAAGGCGAGAGCCACATTTTGAAAACCACCTGCCTTCAATCCGTGAACATCTTGCAATTTTTGTTAAACGAATGTGCGCGGCGCTAAGGCGAGAACCACATTTTGAAAAGGAGCCGCCCTCAATCCGTGAAGCTCTTGCACGTGTTTAGAAACGAATGTGCGCGGCGCTCTGGCTAGAGCCACATTTTGAAAACGACCCGCCCTCCATCTGTGAAACTGTTGGCACTTTTTAAGCTTCATAGTCATGAATGGTGAGGGGGTCTCAGGCGAACCGCCAGGCCCGCCCTAAAAACTGGCCTCGGGGTGCGACGGGGAAAAGTTATCTATAAGGAAAATGAATGGAGGAGGAGAAGGAGGAGAAGGAGAGGAGGACGGGAGGAGGGGGTGGGAGAGGAGGGCGAGGAGGAGGAGAAGGTCTTCTCAGAAGGCGGCAGGACTTCTCAGAAGCCCTCGCGCCTTCTGATAGGTTTTCTGTGTCTTCGGGTACGGCTTAGAAAGCTTCTCAGAAGGCTGGGGGACTTCCGAGCCTTCTGAGAAGGCCCGCCCCCTCTCACTTCCCCCCTCGCTCGCCGCCGAGGGAGGAGGGGATGGGAGAGGAGGGCGAGGAGGAGGAGGCACGATGGAGGAAAAGGAGACCCTCCTCCTCCTCCAACTCGTGCCCCCTGCATGACACCTATCCATCCAGCGCGCTGGTTCCCTGTCGTGGCTCTGGTTTTGCCGCGTCTCCGATTCACTCCACAAATCGCTTCATTAATCATTCCTTTATTCTGTCCCACGTCCCTCCCTTATTATCCCTCTCCGTTTCCGTTTGCCTGGGCATTTCCAACCTCACGCTCTCTCTTTCTCTCTCTCTCTCTCTCTCTCTCTCTCTCCATCCCAACCACCCTGCCACCAAGTCCTCCATTTTCCCCCGTCCATCCTACACTCCCTCCTTTCCTCCACGACTTCCCTTTCTGGCTTTCTTCATTGTCATTTCCCTGATCATGCCCTGACACCTCATCATAATCGTCTTCAACAACAACAACAACAACAACAACAACAACAACAACAACAACAACAACAACAACAACAACAACAACAACAACGACAACAACAACAACAACAACAACAACAACAACAACAACAACAACAACAACAACAACAACAACAACAACAACAACAACAACAACAACAACAACAACAACAACAACAACAACAACAACAACAACAACAACAACAACAACAACAACAACAACAACAACAACAACAACAACAACAACAACAACAACAACAACAACAACAACAACAACAACACAACCACAACAACAACAACAAGAACAACAACAACAACAACAACGACAACCACAACAACAGAAACAACATAAACAACAACAACAATAACAACAACAACAACAACAACAACAACAGCAACAACAACAACAGAAACACCATCGACAACAACAACAGCAACAACAACAACCACAACCACAACCACAACCACAACCACAACCACAACCACATCCACAACCACAACCATAACCACAACAACTACCGCAGCCACAACCACAACCACAACAACATCAGCAACTGCAACAAAAACAACCGCACCACAAATAATAACGACAACGACAACAGCAACAACAACAACAACAACCACAACCACAACAACAACCACCACCACAACCACAACAACAACAACAATATCAGCGTCGTCTATCTCAACTGCTAGTCCCTCTTAGTTTCGCAGGCTGGCAAAAAGAACCATCGAAAGTGTTCAAAAGCGCCGCACCCCAGTGAATTGCTTACGATCCCCGATTGATGACGTTCAATTCCTACCTTCGGGGCAGGGAGGCTCGAATGGAGAGAAGCCACCGAAGTGTGGACCGGGGATTGCATGTGGTTTTTCGTGTGCATGCGCGCATACGTACCATGCGTGCGTGCATGGGCGCGTCAAACGTTATTCCGATTACACAGGGGACATACACAACCCACCCAAGTCGCATGGCAAGACCATGGGCTGGGTCTGCGTGTGGGCACGCAGTCGGGTGGACCTCCCAGGAGCTCACGAAAGTGGCGACACTTGAGCTGTTAACAGCCCCAGAGGAGTGCGAGGTCGAATTTGAATGCCCATAGACCTGCACCCCCCTGGACCCCCAGGAGTTCACAAGCCCCATCCCGTTGGACATCTCAGGAGTTCACGAACGTGGCGACAGTTGCGCGGCCTGTATGGCATCGCTCCGTTGGATCTCCCAGGAGGTCACGAAAGTGACGACAACTGCGCAATGTGCAGCCCTCGGGGAGGCAAGGTCCAGCATGATCCCCATGAGGATCGCACTCTGCTAGGCCGCCTAAGAGCTCACCGAAATAGCGACCGCTGCGCAGCTTGCAACCCTCAGGGAGGCAAGGTCCAGCATGCTTCCCATTAAGCGCGCACTCCGCTGGACCTCACAGGAGCTCACGAAAATGGCGGCAGTTGCGCCGCTATCAGCCCCCCATGAAGGCAAAGTCTAGCTGGGATGACTTGTTAAGGCATCGCCCCGCTGGACAGCCAAGATGCATACAAAATGGCCCAAGATGACCAACTACGGCTCAAACAGGCCCCCGGGACAGCTCTGAGACAGATCAAGAAGCCACCGAAACGGCCCAAGGGGTCTCCGAAAGGCCCTCACTTGTTCGGGCTTCCGACCGCCCAAGACGACACAAGAAGCCTCTTAAGGGGATCCAAGATAGCTTTAAAACAGCTCCATGAGGCCCCCAGAAAGGCCCGAAGTCGGCCCAAGAGGACCCAAAGGTCGCCGAAGGGGATCCCGAAAGGGCCCCAAGACGGCAGCGAATCGCCCCAAGAGAGCACCAACGCGGCCTCAAAAGGCCCCCAAGGCGGTCGACATGGGCGTCAAGCGGGCCAAGAGTCCCCCAAAACGGCCCAAAAGGGGGCCCATGACGCCACCACGAGGCACCCAAGAAGCTTGCAGAAAGCCCACAGAAGGCCCCCAGGGAGCCCCAAGAGGGCCCCAGAAAGCCGTCCCCTCCTCATTCTCAGTTTCTCCGACGCCTTCATTTCCTCCTCTTCCTCCTCCTCCTCCTCCTCCTCCTCTTCCTCCTCCTCTTCCTCCTCCTCCTCATCCTGCTCCATGTTCTCCTCCTCCTCATCCTCCCCCTCATCCTCCTCGTTTCCCTTTCCCTCCTCCTCCTCATCATCATGTTCCTGTTACTTCCCCCCTCCTCCTCTTCCTCGTCATCATCATCATCATCATCATCATCATCATCATCACCATCATCATCACCATCATCACCATCATCACCATCATCATTGTCATCATCATCATCATCATCATCATCATCATCATCATCATCATCACAACCATCGTCAGCAACATCGTCGTCCCTACCGCGCGGACGCAGGCGAGGTCGGGACAACGACCCACCCTGATGCAGACTACTCGTCGGAAGTACGCCGCTCCTACATTCAGTGTCCGTCCTGTTGCGCTGTCGCAGAAACACCGTGGCTGGGGGTTGCAGAGGGCAGTTGGCAGTATATATAATAAATGAGCACACACATGTATATACATATATATACACCGATATATGTATACATACATATGTACATAAATACATATCCACATGCACAGATGTACAGATATACAAATATACATACATGTATACACACACGTCTATACATATATACGTATGTACATATATGCATACATACATACATACAAATATACATCTATATACACCCAATCTACATACATGCATACACATACATACACACATGTAAAATACAAACAACATGCATATATGAATATGAATTCACGTTTGCATATGTGCGTGCACTGAAATATAAAGATATACATACTATTTGCCACCAACTGCGAGTACCCAATACGCACATGCGTACACTATCGCACACAGACATAGATACGTACCTACATACCGGCACGTGTATATATATATATATATATATATGCACACATGCGTATGTACGCAAGTACCTACATCCATACATACATACACACATACGTACTAGAACCATCGCGCGCGCTTCGCGCGCGCTCAGGTTCTAGCCCAGGCCGGGGGGGCGCTGGACGATCTTGGACAACGCTATCAAGCACAGGCGCGCGACGGCATCTGAGGAGCTTTTGGGGTGTTCCGCATCCTTCGTCAACTGGCTGTTGGAGGCACCTCTTGGGTGCCTCTTGGGATGGCGTCTGAGGGTCCCTTGGGGGCACCGGCTCTGCAATCTGAAGCCGTCATTGGCCGTCTTGGCTGCGTGGAGGCCCGACTTGAGGCCACATGCGGCCAGATTGAGGCAATCCGGAAGCCTCCCGGGGGCCTCCTGGAAGCAGTTTTGACGCATCGAGGGCACTCTTGGGCTATTTTAAAATCTCTTGGACGTCTCCTAGGGGCCTTTTGGGCCCTCGGGAAGCTTTCGGGGTACTCGTCGGACCACTTGGGGGCCTCTTGCGGCCTCCTGTGGGCCTTTGAGGGGGAACGCTCTGCTGTTGGGTCGCGTTCCCCTTACTCGGCCTCTCTTGGGGCCCTCTCGG